TATATAATTTTGGTGGCATGAGTGGTAATAGTTTTAGCATTTTTTTTGAACACAATTTTTACATCAATGAACTCCACATTAGCCAGACCCACTTGAATATTTTCCGTTTCAGTGTTCATATGTAGGTACTCCAAAGACTGTATCGTTTGAGGGATTTCCTGTGCTTTTGCACCTCGTCGTCATTATTGATCACTTTAGGTGATTTTAAATCTGAAGTTGTGAATGGAGTGACTTGAAGATCCTTCGAAAAATCCCCTCCGACATTATTTTACCCTTGATGGTAATCAAGTTTTTCAAATTTAGGTTTCAACTTACTTTTAGCTTTCGTGATAAATGGTGTAGCATTCTTTGTTTTCTGCATCACCTGATTTATTTGAGATGCTTGCACACCACGAATTATACTAATTCTAAAAATTAGTCACTCATTCCAACTTTTGTCGGTTTATCAGCGCTAGGTAGGTTATCTGGTATACAGCTTGCAACAAAAGCAGTTCAAGCAGCGAAAACAATTGATTGAGGCAAACCGTCATCTGCAGACTAAAAATTCAAAAATCATAGATTTGCCACCTCAAAGAGCTCTCTTCAATATCGACCTCAATATCATACTAAAAAATTATTATTCCTCATTTTCGAATGGTATATATTAATGCGTGATGGTCCACCAAAATTAGGAACACATTGATATGACTCAGTCATTGTGAATTTGATGGTTCACGTGGTCCGGGGATACATTGGGTAGCAGTGAAATATTTTGATAGTTTTGGTGATTTACCCCCTCCAAAAGAATTGATTCGCTATTTCTCTAAGACTTTGCAACCTATCAATAATATCACATACATATAACTATGAACGTCGGCAACAATTCAACAAAATATGGTGACGTTCCTCCAGAATTAGACATGGAAATAACACCAAATCAAGATCAAGAGAGCATCAAGAGAATGGATCATTCATTGATCGTCTTGACGAAAAATGAGAAAAAAAACTACTCGCCGATATGCCGACAGAGGTGTAATATGGTTGTGTATCACATGAAATTGCATTTGTATGGGATAAGTTACCACACAGTCTACGAAATAATATTGATATCTTGAAGTATCAATACTGCGACGATCAAAGTAATAGTGCAGATAACAATAATTCTGATGTGAATGATTGTTGTTATTGTAGAGTGAATGATGTGAATGTAGTCACACATAATGAGATGGATGATTGGTATAGGCCACCAACGACGATTTCCCCAAAATTTCTGATTTCCGCAGTAAAAGAACGAGAATCAATGAAAATCCATCAGTCATGTCAGGAACGTTTTTATTGTCAGGGTATACTCTAGCGAGTTGAATGCCAAGTTCTACCCACCCATCGAATTGAACACCGCCAGTAATTACCGACTAGAGTTACATGGTTTCTACTCCTACGATTCCATATTCAATGTTGATGCGAAGATCGACTATTCGCATACAAATAACTCGCCTCCCACCATTATAAAAATTCCACCTGGGGCATATGAAATTGTAGAAATCAATAAGGTGATTCAAAAATTCATCAAATTCAAAGAACTGCAACAAGAAAATGGGGTGGAAGAGAATATCGACGAAGCCTTCCTCCTACGTGCAAACAACAAGACTCTGAAATGCGAAATGCGGTCGAAATGCTACATCAATCTCAAACATGAAAACACCATTGCTGAACTTTTCGGGTTTGATGGCAATGTGTTCCGCTGTGGTAAAACACACAAATCAACATTACCCGTGAATATCAATCAGGTTAGAATTATTCTCTGGATTGGAATGGTGATAAAACGAGCGGGTCTTGGCACCAAGGTGATTATGAGAATTTTGACCCATATATGTAAGAATGAATTTGCCTTTGGATGAATTCACTTCGCGAAAAATTTCTCTCATGGATTGTTTTGTGACACGTTTTGGAAGCCATGACTTGAAAGAAGTGTTATTTTTCCCATCCAATAAAACTACTTGGATGGATTAACCATATTGTATAGAAAGAAGCTCGAGTAATAAGGTAATATTATAGAAATTCAGATTCCTATCTGTTTCCTAAATAGAGATATGGAACACCGCGCCACTGTTGCAGGACCTTGTATATTTTTTGAAGAAAACTTTCAAATTTTTCTCAGTAACAAACTCCCACTGAAAATAAATTCTTCTTGATTTCCGAGACAAAAACAGAATTTTCCCTTTCCTAACACAGATTCCACCTTCTGCCTATACTACAGAACTGTCTCCAAGTTGAATTGCTATTTGTTATTTGTGGATTTACTGGGTTGAGATATGTGAACCACTTTTTGTGAAATATCATGTGCTTCGATGCTGCACAGTCTGCCAACAAGATATCGTCCAACTTCGATATTTTTCCACTCAGAACATGGAGCTTGATGTTTGGATTTCCACTGATGGATTTTCTGTACTGGCACTGTGATTTCTCTGAACTTCAGTTTTCTTGATGGTTTGTGGTTTCGTTGATTTGGTCTTTGTGTAAAATTGAAGAGATGATTGCTGATTCCACATTTTTTTATTTTGCGAAACTTTGTTTAACTTTTGACCAATCCCAACGTTTACGAGTATCTACTTTCTTATGTATGCTCAGTTTTCTATTTTGTACCCAACATTTTTGTATTTTTGCATTTGAAAACAACTTCTTCGTTGGGTACAGAGACCAAACAAACATTTTTTTTTGCTTTTCGACATTTTCAGAGCCAACATCATATATTATTGCCTCACTCGTATCCTTTACCCATCGGGAAAATTCTAGGAATGAAACAACTATATTTTATTCTTTTATAATGACGCATTTTTCCCCATTCCATTTTGAAAAGCAAGGATGCTTGTAGGGGAGTTTTTAAGTTACATAATATATTGACCATACCAGTAATCTATATCTTTGAATCAATAAAGTTTTTGATCATTCAACCAGATAGTTTTGATATACACCGTAAGAGCCAAGCCTATGGAACAATAATTAAAAACATTTTTTCGTATCCAATGGAACATAAAAAAATCCTTTTATGAGCGTGGCACTATTACAGTTATATGAAATTTTGGAATAGTCTTTCGAAGAATATATGAGACATTTGTTATAATTTCTACGGTCACTCAAAAAAACAAATGATTTTGATTTGATTCAACTTACAAAACTCTTGACGCTATTGAACACAACATGAATAAGAGATATTGTACTGTGCTAGAAAACAATACAGGGTGAGTCAACAAGATTCCCTCGGTTCGTTGCTATCAGAAGAAACCATTTTTTGAACTGTTCAATTTTTTTTTCAGTCATATCGATAAATACTATCTTTTGAAATTATTTTCTCGCATACTGTGTGATTCAGCCGAGCGTGGCCAATTGAAGTAATTTTTTTTTAAATAAAACACCCAGTATATGAGTACGTCATTCGATTCCATATTTTTATAAGTCTCTAAGGAATTTTTGATTTCGAAAAACGATTTTGCAGATAATATTTTTCAATTCACCACCCGTATGTCTATAGCAATTAAGTGGTTTTTTTTAGGAATAGTTATTTAACATCACCATGATAATTTCGAGAATGTCAACTTTCAGAAATAATTTATAGGGTGCTCAGTAAAACCGGTCAAATTTCATTCATTTTCAAACAGACATAATTCAACTTTTTCAAATGGAACACTGTATTTTTTCATTTGTATGAAATGTTTTGACATTTCGCATTTTTTATTAGAGGTATGATATACGAAAAACTGATATTTTACAAATTATACCAAATTTTGGTAATAGCTGTAACGACAAAAAATGTATTTTCTTACGTTCACTTAACTCAAATTTGTTTTCCGAATATTCAAACTAATCGCTAGTACATTAGCATTTTTCATACCGTTATCAGCGGAAAAATTAATCTCGGCCATAACGCCATGTGCCGAAGTTTCTTTCGCGTGTAGATTGAATCATTTTTATTATGAATTATGTATTGGAAACATATGGTGCAAATGGTCTATGCTTTGGGGGAAAGAGACGGAAATTGCCTCCTTGCATCTAGGATTCATAAAGAGAAGTTCCCCGAAAGAAAACACCCAGATGGAAAGGCATTTCAGGCTCTAAAAACAAGATTTGAAAGAACTGGTAATGTCAATCACGAGAAGTTCGAACGTATCTGACCTGTAACAAATGGAGAGAATACATTTCAAATTGCTCTTCACCTTGTTGAAAATCGAATGACGTATTCATATACTGGGTGTTCCATTTAAAAAAATATAACTTTGGTTGGCCACGCTCGGCTGAATCACCCAGTATGCGAAAAAATAATTTCAAAAGATAGTATTTATCGATGTGACTGCGAAAAAAATTGAGCAATTCGAAAAGTTGTTTTTCCTGATAGCAATGGACCGAGGGAATCTTGTTGACTCACCCTGTATTCACACCACCACACTGGAACGGAAGAGATGCGGAACTAGCACATTTCTCAAAAAAAAATCGTTCAGTAGTCATCAGAAATAGTATATAATGACTTTTATCCCGACGAGAATTACGGCATATCCTGAGCACGATATAATTAAGATATATGTAAAACAAAATGATCCCTGTCATGATCTGATTAGATCAGTGTTTCATCTTCTTTGCATATATAGGGTGTCTTTAAGGTTATAGAACTTGATACCCAATATATTGCCAAGAGTTCCCGTTTTGTCTTAATGGCATTTGCAGTAAACGTTGTGGAAAGTTACCCACAAGTGACACGTTGCCCCTTATTGATTCCAAAATGGCCATCGTTCTATCTTGGTTTGAATTCATTACTGGTTTAATAAAGATTTTATTTTACTATTGAAAAACAAATCTCATTTTTTGGATCTCACTTGATAGGTGTTTTCTTTATAGATACATTTTTTGCATTCAGTACAAAACATCTATCAAACGAGGTATTGCACCTTGTAATTTGTTTACTAACGGTTTTACAGCAATTTTCTATTGCCTTCTTATTTTGAAAAGAGCCTATAGCTAAAAATACTCACGTTTAAAACTTTCTGCCAATTTTTTCGTTAATAAAATCAAAGCAAGTTTCGTAACTGCGTAAATAAGATAGGGGTCATCATTCTTTGATACCTGTTGACTCAACGACAATAACAATAATTGTTGCATATTCTTTATGGTTCTGTGTTCTTCTCCTGAAACGTTGACTATCCGACAATCATCCGATTTACGCAACAAATTCATTATGTCCTCTAGCAATAAGAAATGCCCTGATAATACAGAAAAATTGAGGGTGTAAATGAATTGCTTTCAAATAATGACTTACCGTAATAGTTAGCCTGTCGCATTATTTCAAATCCGTCTTCTGTTAAAGAAGTTGAATTACAGAAAACTGCAGCGTTGTTTACCAATCCATCGATTTTAGTAAACTTTTTAGAACATTCTATTGAGAATTTAGATATACTACTGAATTTGCAGAGATCCAAATACATTACATATACTTTTGATTCTTTGTTATGAACCTGACCTTGAATTTCAAATTTAGTTCTTACTCCTTTTTCAACGTCCTTACAAGCCAATATGATTTGAGCACCTGAAGTAGCAATTTGAGAGGAAGTGATTAAAGTAATACAAGTTGTACATTTCTATATTCTTACCTCTCTTAGCTAACTCAATACTCAGAGCTTTGCCAATTCCAGATGTTCCACCGGTTATAAGAATAACACGATCATTTAACATTCTTGAGCAGCGACACATTCCTGGAGACTTACTGAAATAATTTTTTTATATATAAAGTGACATTTCAAGTCGATCTTTCGAGAATGTTTATTCCCTTTATCAAGACATCTACAAGAAATTGAAAACATTGCAGCAAAATTGTAAAACAAATAGATAAAAAATGTACTTACTAACTTGAGGTAAAAAAAAATATCGAAATTAATTTATATCTTCTAAACTGTAATAGATAGGTATAGGGAAATAGTATATGAATTTGTTGACAAAGTGATAATGAATTATAACATGATATTATATACGGGGTGTTCCATTTGAAAAATCAAAGAAGCTGCTACTTTATAGTAGAAGCGACAACGCCGCCTCGTCTAAAATATTTTAGGCGTGTAGGTCATATTGACTTATACATACTGTGGAATTTTCAGGTTGATCCGTTGAATAGTTTGCCAGAAACGGCTAATTAACGCTCATCATGAAAAGCCCTGTATAATTGTGATTTAATAGACTCTTCAACTCAACTGAATTCCTGTTGATAATGAGAGGGGTTGGAAAAGATCAGCTTTTTGATATTATTTTAACCGTAACTTCTGAACCACTTGGTATAAAACCATATACCTAGTTCTATATTTCTTAAAAGTACTCCTCAGACGAAAGCAGAATATTAATATAAAAATGTAGTATTACATTGAAAAACCTAACCCACTTGGTACTCTGTATATCGAATAGATAATTTCATTATTTGTAAAATAATGAAAAAACATTTTCTATCAAAATTAGATAAATCTTGAAACACGTTGAAAAATTTCATTTTGTGTAACTCTCCCTACTTTGGGGTATTTTGCACAAAATTGAATTTCCTATAAGTCGCATCAAGGAATATGTAAAACAGGCATTTTTCTGAAGGTGAGGTTTTTTTTAATATCTTTTGAAATCAGAAATTCTTTGGAGCCTGGACAGAATTATTTATATTCATCAAACAATTTGCATGATACTCATATGAAAATTCAGTTTTACGTGACACAAAGTTGTCTTTGATGGATATAAAAATGAGTGAATTTGAACATCCGAGATAAATCGTAGATATGCAAGTAAAGGGGGCTTTACACGCAACGATAAGTTGTAGCAATTTATCGTAACGATCAGATTGTTACAGTTTATCGATGTGTGTAAATGAGAGATTGTAGCGATTTATTGGGATTGGAGTTGCAGTGGATAATTGAAGCCGGCCGGCATCAATTTCTGGGAATCGCAACGATGTGTTGGAACGTGTAACAGTTGCACCAATTTATCGCTACAATTTCACTCAGTTTCCAATCTGCTTTTGCACGTAAGGTTGTTTCATGACATAGTGTTGTGGGCAAACATGGCAGAAAATGCAAGTAAACAAACACCTCGCGAGTTTTTAATTGAATTTATAGAACTTTATAGAAGTTTTACCTGTTTGTNGGTTTAGATTTACTCAGAGAAGGCATAATTTCACCTAGTACTCCAATTATCAGAACAACCATTTTGACAGAGTGGTCTGGATAGAGTTTGCGGAGTTCAAGGAGTGAATATCGATATTTTATCCGTTGCTCCTCTTTTCCCGACAATATTCGTCTCGCAAGGAGCTAAAAATTCCACGACAAATATCGTCTTGCTCTGGTTGTCGAGAAGGACTACATCAGGCTTATTAGCTTGTTATGTCGATAGATATGCGACGAGACCGCATATTCTGGACATGCTGATAGCAAGTGCGGCAGGTTCTACACCTTGTGTCAGGAACCTCTATACCCATTACTCGACTGTGGTAGACTAATGTGTTGAAGACACCATCCTGTCAAGCCATGATGAACCCCTCAGTTTCCGACTTCAGCCCACTCGACCTGAGGAAAGCGAAAGTCAGGCGCATTGATGAGCTAGGGTCTTCAATGTTATTGAAGAAGACCCCATGCATTGGCTTATCCTTATTTTTCTGCAGAAGTGAAGTGATCTCTGCGACTTCGAATGGGATGATTCTGCAACCGTGTTAGGAATCGTACGTTAAAAGGTAAGACCTCGTTAGTCCTTAGCTCGCACAAGTTTCTCAACTTCTGGGAGTTGTCGTTCGTATGGGGGCGACAGCTGATTAACGGAAAAATAGATTTTGAACAAAAACAGTGTTATTTAAAAATCTCAATTAGTTTATACCCAAACTCAGGTGAAGTTATTATTCATTACCTAGGTAGAAGGTCGTATGATTAAAATTGGTAGTAAGTATGTAAACTACAGATTAAGTAGCATTTGGTTATTACGAAAACGCTTGATAAAGCTATTATATGGAGTTATGGATTTTCTTCAAGTATCGACCAATTCCATCAGATATGTTATAATAATTATACGAAATAATTTTTTTAATGAGCCACGCAAAACTTTTTTTTGGATGAATATCAGATATATTGTTTGAACAATATATAAATAATTTTTCAGAAAGTTCCTGACTCCAATTAACCATGGACAAACATTATCAGAATCGGAACTTTTTCCGAGGAGTTTAGGGAAAAAAATTTCGTTGATTTAACTATAGCTATATAAGTTGATGATGTTAATTACTTATGTGAATGAAACAATAAAAATATACTACTCACAAAAATATATACGCTGCATAACCTGCCAATAGCATCCAGGAAAGAGATTTCAATGTGACTGTATCAATATTCTTTATTTGAAGCATCTTCGATTGTTAGTTATTCATTTGTAAGAACCATACATCCAAAAGGCAGAAATTTAGCTGTGAATCCTGTTATGCCATACCAAACTACAAAATCGACACCAAATACACAAACAAACCACTTGCGACCTATCTATTCTGAACTTAAAATATATACGCACAAAAACGAATTGCTAATAAAAAATTTAAGTATGTCAGTGTGGCAGTAAGAAAAACAAGGAGCATTTGGTCAAGGGCAAACGATTATTTTTTCAAATTCAATTTTAGTCCTAAGTGGGACAATTCTGGATAAAAGTAATCGGAGCAAATAAGCTACATTTACGATTAAAATTGTTTATTATTCTGATGTTGATTTTATTGAAAAAAAGGCATGCAAAAGGTGGCATGAAAGCAAAATAGGCAGCAAAAGTAATGAATTCTTCAATATTCTGATGGTGCAGAACAACCTGGTTTCTATACAGAGTGGTCGAAGTCACACGAAACAGAACCGTTATCCGGGAACTGCATCAGCATTTCAAAAAACGCAGAGATTCGTTTATTGTTCATTAGAGAGGACACACTTTTTCGGAATTTGTGACACCTCCTTTTCAACCTCCCCCCCTCCAAAGAAAGGGTAAGATCCACCCAAGAGTATTTTAACGTCATTGGGATAGAGTAAAATGTCGTTTGACATTTTCTTTACAGAAGTATTTATTTTTAAATTCCGTTTTGATAGTTATATAACAGTAAGCCACGAATGACAGAAGGTTGTCATTCTTGGCTCACTACGCTTGCTCAAGGCACATGATTCTCGGACCCAATGATCACTTACTCCACGGTGTGGGGAGTGGTCGTTGGTTGATAATGCTGGCGCGCCCTCCCGAATGTATCGGAGCTTCGGGGGATAGGACCTGACCAGCGCATACTTCGGTTAAAAAATGAAAATAATAATAATAATGTTCATTCACAGTAAACAACATATAAGTAAATACATAAAAAAAATTAATAATACAGTGACTCATTAAAATAGGGTGAGTGGTGAAACAACACGGAAAAAACACATAAGTAGCTGCAAAAGCTACTAAGAAATAACATTTAAAATTCAAATTATGTTTAAGTGATTGCTTACCACATCACAGTACGTTGAATGTTCAAATTGAGGATCGTCCCAATCCATACAAAAATAAAGATTTACGGAACCCATCCTTTACTTACTCCGCAATGCATAATGATTAGTCGCGATCCTTTGTTTGCAGGCATGTTAAGCGTTCACATTTTGGAACCATCAGTCCACTCTGTCGTAACTGTGTCATGAGTGTCATACCAAGTTTCGTCCAAATAGAAAATTTGCCGTTGTTCTTGTCTACATTTAGTTATTTGTTCTAAGTATTTGTTACGCAATTCCACTTTTCTTCTGCTTTCCATAACTTCTTGACATTTGTTTATTATTTTCAGTCTAAATCCTAGTTTCTTTATCCAATTCTGAAGAGTGTTGTCACATCAGCTCACGTTATGGCCGGAAGTATTCAATTTCTTCCTTATGATTTCAGTTGTAGGAATCTCATTGCTTTTGTAACATTCGTATATTGTTTTTTCGATGATTTTATTGAACATCGAAAAGTTTTGGTAATCCTGTATCATATTGCGTCTTGCGTTCATAAGGTTTGTTTTTGACCATTTTACGTACAGTTTAGAAAGAAATTTCGGTCAAATCTGATGTTGCTTGTAATAGTTTGTTTCCCTCTTGAGATGTAGATTCTTATATACATTGAAACATACTCTCTTATTCACTGGTATCTCTTTTTCGCATTGTTCACCATCGCTATTGGAATCACTACATTGTAAAAAGTCTGCGTTGTTATCACATTCGTTATTATTATTAGTACTTGTCCAAGGACGCCACATTTTGAATAGATAACAAAAATTTTTAAGTAATTATAACTGTACCAATATCGAATTTCAACACTCAAATCGCGATCAGTTCCTGAACTGAACATTGATGATACGACGACGAAAATCATGCCCGCGTTTCCCGATTTCTATTCGTCACCGTAACAGGACTTCAAATTTTATTTTATGACTCTTCAGCCAATCATAAAAGTCGGTTAGTAAAAATCATCCAATACGAACCGCCAATTCTGCAATCCACGTGGGCTAGATCGCAGCCGGTTCATTTTATGTATTGGTTTTTTGGTCCTTGAGTTTACCGCCAATTTTGAGTGTGCACAATATGGTTTACTTCGACTATACAGGTAATGAATGGGATGAAGTTGAAAGACCAGCAGAAAATAATTTAAAAAAAATTAAATTATGGCTGAGTGAAAACCTACTCAATTCAAAAACATCGAGAACAACATTCATAACTTTCTCTCCAACTGTTGTTACGTCAGATTTCATTTTAAAATTACGTAACATAAAATGTTATAATATGAATCGCAATTGTCTAGAAATATGGAAAACTAATGTCATCGATTATTACGTACTGCAAATCGGCATGGGGTGACACGTTCAACACCATGCTACAACATCTGCGAACAACACAAAACACTTTATGCAAAATCAGAAAACTTTTTATACTTACCAGACTTCTAAGAGGATATTCTCTCATAGCGGAACCTTCAAAAACAAACTAAAAAATGCTTCAAGATGATATACATGTCACTATACCTGAATCGTCAAGTTTTCTTAATAAAGCCGTTTTTGAGGAAAAATAGTTACACACGTTTTACCTACAAGTGTTGAAAGTGGCATTTTATTTTGTGAGTGGGGATTATTGCAAAACGAGCGTCAGCAAGTGGAGCAAACTCACGAACAAAATAAAATCACTTTTAACAAATGTATCATACAA